TGATCAATTGAACTGAACTCGTTCGTATTATAGTTGGAAAACGTATTTTCCATACCGCCAATATTTTCCATACTATTCTGGTTAACGTTATGTTTTCGCTTTTGATAATATGCCTTGAACTTAGCTTGTAATGTACTTTTATGTTCGCTATAATATTTCCGAAAGTAATTTGTACGAACGCTATGTAACATTTTTTGTCCTTTGTCATAAGTGTTGTCAGCCGGCTGTGAAAGACTTGTCATATTCTTAATAAGTAGTGTTTTAAAGTTCTTGTTTATTTCTACAACAGGATTAGGTGGTAGAGAAAAATTGCATCGTGTTTGAGATTGAGAAATAGTAGAAAGAGTTTCATCTGCCTTATTTTATGATGAAACGTGTCGTTACTCATATTATGAAATAAATTATAGAAATTTGTATGTAACGTACAGTAGTTACGTTTTTCAAGAATTCTCACTTTCTGATCAAGTGCAGGAAGAACGTCTTTGTCGTCTTCCTGATTGTTGAACTCAGAGATATGTCGTTTGATTGTTACCAAACGTTTGCGGCAAAGAAGCTGAATGTTTCTAACTATAACAGTATTTGGCGAGAACGGCTCAATTTTTACACCATTTTCCGTAGAAGGAAACAGCGGTGGAATGTTTGTTGTAAAACTGTCGCTATAAGCAGACAAGGGCCGTTTCATCTTAAAACTGTCGCTACTAGCAGACATCGGCTATTTTCTTTCAGCATTGTCGCTACAAGCAGACATTGGCCTTTTTGTTTCAGAATTGTCGTTACAAGCAGACATTGGCCATTGTCTTTCAGAATTGTCGCTATAAGCAGACATTGGCCTTTTTCTTTCAGAATTGTCGCTACAAGCAGACATTGGCCTTTTTCTTTCAGAATTGTCGCTACACGCAGACATTGGCCTTTTTCTTTCAGAATTGTCGCTACAAGCAGACATTGACCTTTTTATTTCGAAATTGTTGCTAAAAGCAGACAGTGGCCGAACACTTACAAAATTGTTACTACAAACCGACATCGGTTGATTCCTGACTACCTTACAATTCGATGCAAACGGTTGTATATTCTTGTGTAACGACCCAGAGAAAGGTACGTCACTGCACCGACGTATGGGGAGAGCGGTTCCCCAAGTAGGCGACTCGTATGAATGAAAATAGGGATTATAGGTTCGCGTGGTGTGCGGTTGAGGAGTAAACTCCAAACATTAATGTATCAAACTAAAATACTTTATTCAAGTAAGTAAACTAACTATGCTTGTTCTGCGTATAATATAAAATAGTATCGTTAGTATAACAATAGGTGCGGCTAGAATATGGAATACAATGAGAAATTATAATAAGTACGCCCTAGATAATGAAATACAGTAGAAAGTATATGATTAGTAATTAGTATATATAACAATAACGCGGCTTAATCTTCGAATACAGCCAACATTCTGTACAATTTGCCAATTACGCTAAGTACTGGAAACTATATTCCAGTGGCTTGTACGGTACCCTCAGACACGAGCGGACTTTTCCTACATGTCGCAATCGATTTCTGGTCTGGCCAGAGCTGTGTTAAGTACAGGCCGTTTCAAGGAGCTCCGCTCCTCGATAGCTCTTTATACTTAAGTATCGCTTAGTAAAAACACCTGAATAACACGTTGCGTACCATAAGTAGGGTGTCCACAGATCCGAAGTCTCGTACGTCACCACCGGAAGAGAAGGATAAAGCTATTCTCGCGCTCAATGGTTGCCTAAGCAATTCAGCGCAAGCTTTCCTCTACTTCCAGAGTGTTGCCTGCTCTTGACCGTAGTCAGAGAAGATCTGCCTTGATACCGCGTAGAACGCCTCTATTTATAGTCAGATTCTGCTGACTTGACGCTTTTTTTATTATAGGGTTCCTCTAGATTTCTGGAATTCCTCATCACGTGACGGCCGAGTACCCCTGCTCCTTAATCTACGCGGTATCCCTACTCTAGATTCTCACCCCACCGCGAGATCCTCGGGGTTGCGCTGGCGCACACGTGGTCGCTCGTTGATATTTTACCGATATTCTGTTTTATCGGCCTACTTACCGACTCTACGCTTATCGGCTCATTTAATAGACTCAGTTATCGATAAATGAAAATAATTTATTACAAAATTTATACAATACAAATTAAACTAAATACTGAATATAAATAACGAAAATTAAATAAAACATTTTGTATGAAACTAAAATATAAGAATTTGATTATAATTATAAAAATGAAACGAAAAAGGTGCTGCATCTTCTTATCGGGTCGTTACACTTGTTAAAATTATGTTTACTTGCATCAGTAATTACAATATCAGGTGAAAGTTTCGTTGTTGCATATGATGCCGATCGTGATATTGAGTGACGCCATAACTGAGTTTCCTGCGAGTTATATCTTCTGGCTTGTATAAGTTGTAAAGGCAGTATTTGCACTTCGTTACCCTGTACTTGAGGAAAATGTGTAATTCTCCCTGTAATAAGCATTTGTAATAAATGTTGACGCATATCTGCAAAATTATACCGTACCTTATTTGGTAAAATATTAAAAAGTAATGACGTTGCAAATGCTATGGCAAATACACCAAAATCACTGCCATTCGGCTGTTGCTGAACTAGTGGAAATTGTACTGTTTCATTATTAATATTATAAAAGGGAAATAATTTTTGAAGAAAAATTTTGTGATCCGGATGTAATCTTCCCTTATTTAAAGAATCGAATATAAATACTGTTTCCTTATTGTAATTTGACATACCCAATGTCCATCAATATTTGATGCACCACTAAATAAAATTTGGATATGCTTTAATCCTTATAATCTAGGATTTATTCTTTCGGGATACTGTAACTTCCATGTTTCCTGTGGACGGAAATCAGTATACTTCTGCACAAGATAATGAAACATGTCCATATGCGTGTCTTCTAACCATTCACCACGCCTGATAATATTCTGCAAATGATCTGTTAACTGTGGCATATTAGGCATTCAGTAAATGTACTCGGAATGTGTATAATCGTAAGAGCTTTCTTATATTATTTTATTCAGTGTAAGTAATAGAAGGAAAAGTAAAACAAATAATGAAAAGAATAAAAAAAGATAAGAAGGAAGTAATAAGTAAGAAAAGAAATAGAATAAAATAAGTAGAAAATAATTAAAATAAATATGATGTGAAACACTTACTAAGCTATGAAAAATGGCAAAAGAAACCAATCGTTATAGAAGTGTTCGGATAGATGTTCGCGAACGAACTGCTACCGTGCACTGGATTACATATGCGCATTAGTGAAATTTACGGCAACAGGAGAGTGTCGTTCGTTGGCATAAAGAAACGAAGTACAGTGATACTCGGATAAATGTGACCGTAAGAGAATAGATGTAATAACGAGAGGAAGCGAGATAGACGGTATAGATATACGTCAAGCAACGACGGTCGAGCTACGGCACTTCTTTTTTTTCACAGAAATATTGAAAAAATGGATAATAATTCAAATGATCGTAAGTATAATTCCAACTTCACTGCAAATTAAGTATACTGCATGATTCAAAAACATGCATGTAACATATATTTCTCCTCTTTCTTTCAGAACACCCAATAATGAATGCACTGCTGCAGTTGCAGTAACAGCTGCAACAGATGCAGACAAGGCAGGAAGAACGGGACAGAGAAGTTCAGGCGCTCCAACAACAGCTGCAGCAACAGCAACAACCGCCGCAGCAGCAGCAAAAGCCGCAGCCATAGCAGCAACATCAACAACAACCGCAGCAAAATGAGGCGGATGTAAAGCCGCAACGAAGTGAATTTCACAGATCTAATTGAAAAAATAATTAACCCATTTGCGTCTGAAGTAATAAACAAAATTAATTGTAAAATGGGTGAACGATATTAACATTTAAAATTTTACGTTACAGAAAGAGGAACGGCTGCTGGCAGAAAGCGTTGTGCCTACCGCGGAAGATGGCCGCGGGACGGGAGGGGCGGCGGTAGGGGCGCCCCTAATAAATATTATTTCTCATTATTTTTATTTTAAGTTTTATACTCTTTTTTAATTTCTTTTACTATTTTTAACTTTCATTTTTTATATTTCTATTTTTCTTCTTTTAAAATATTTTAAATACAAAAAATAAAAAAACATATTATTCAGATTGTTTTCTTTTATTTTTCCTTACGACATCCTACAAATATTAAATATACCACTTAAAAGTACAGAAATGAAATATTTTTTAACAAAAAAAGAACTGACTTCGGAATGCACTATAAAGAGTAAAATAATTTCTATTTCATTTATACGAGTATTCCACAGCTATTAATCCAATGTACTTAATCGTTAAACTGGTTTACTAAATACATTTCAACCTATTCGGAGGCGGCGCAAAATTAAAAATAGCAGAATATATGATCCTCCCAATAACGATTTGATTGCGGTATGGCAAACTTGGTAATTAATAAGTCGTAAGAAATAAAATTCGAAACGTTATAGATACGGCAGAAAACATTTGTGTTTGTAACGATTGTATCAGAAGTTGGTAGCACTTCGGATGAACATACATACCTGTATACTGCAATTCACGAGAGACCATACTTAACTCGCATAGCTCACTAGGTTTAGGGAGATTTTTAATAACGTGTGTGATTCCCCTCTGCGGCTTGCTTCTTACTTTGCGATCATATAAATGGTGGACGGAAATATGTGACGTACGATAACTGATAACCGATGAAGATATGGTAAAGATACACGATACAATGAAATTCCTATTATCTTTCAAGAAAAAATTGTATGATCATTACTATATCTACATCAGATATCATGTAATATACATTTAATCCTTTGCGGACGGGGGCGCTCGACGGGCGAGCGTCGCTGTGGACGACAGGTATTGGAGCGCGCAGTAAAGAAAATGTTCACGTCGCACGTTTGCGTTTTAAAAACCAAAATCTTTATTGAAATAACATTTTTATAAAATCCAATAAAATCATAAAGAAACAAATTTAGTCGTCTTTACATAGGAGATGTTTTATATTCGTGCTTTGTGTGATATAGTTCGAAACAATCACCTATGTGCAAGGCCGGCTTAGCCAAACAAGTAGCACAATAGTACCTCGACTCTCTCCTTCCGTGTTTTATTTTTCGATTAGAGCAGACGAGGCAATCTTTACTTCTTCCTGTCTCATCTCGCCTAATAATATGTAGAAAGCCGTTGAGCCTTTCTGCTGTTCCAGAAGTCGCAGGAGCCTTGGGATTAGCGTCTCGAAAATTTCCAATCAATTGATCTATCAAGTGACGTACAAATTGTAAATGGGATAACTTTTTTATATTGTATGTCTTGTGATGCTCTTGATATAATAGATAGGAATTTATCACTGAAACTTCCAATCCCCAAAAAAATAATTTTCGCCACCATTTTTGAGACTTTCTCATGAAACAGTACGTGCCTGTGTACTGATCTGCTTTATCTACCCCACCCATATATTTATTATAATTTATAACCACGTCTGGCTTCACAATATGTGTTCTTTCTTTGCGTGACCTTTTAGTAACGGTTGTCGAAGATGAGGTAGCACAGGTGCTGAGCATGGTCACATTACGCTTGTCTCTCCAAGCCAATAATAGTAAATTGTTCCGTCTGTATGTAACGATTTCATTTTTTGCAATCTGTGGATTTTTTATTTCACGTGGAATAAATTTCCTATTCGTCTGGATAGTACCAGTTAGATTACATTTCATTTTCAGTAGTGCATCTGCCAAAGGAATGCTTGTGAAGTACCGGTCATTGAAAATATGGTACCCGACAGCGCCAAGATTGGATTGCAATAAATTGTGATATAGTTGTAAGACTATTCTCGTGCTTATTGGCAGATCTGGTCTAACTAATTTCTCCGTAGTAAAACTGCCATAATATGGTAAAATAGTTTGTATATAACCAATATTGGCGTCTGCAAGAACATAAATACGGATACCCCACTTGGTTGGTTTCTGTGGGTTGTACGTAATAAAACTTATTCGCCCTTTGAATTTGACGATTGATTCATCCACTGATAACTCCGCCCCGGGTACAAAATTCTCACGACATTTACTATCAATGTAATCTAAAAAATTGCTAATTTTTTGCGTTCTTGTTGCCATGTTTTGCGTACCTACAATATTTTCATTTGTATGCAGCATCCAAAATACTTGTAAGAATCGGTCTCTCCTGAATATTTCGGCAAAGTATGGGATCCTACATTTCTTGTCAGTGGTCCAATAATCTTTCAAGCTTGGAAGTGGCATTGTCCCCATAAGCAATATTATGCCGAGAAATGCTCTCATTTCTTTTGGTGTGACATTAGTCCATGTATGCCATGTGGACCGCTTTTCTAGATGTTTTCCTTGTATCATATGATTTGCGTACCGATTAGTCTCCTCAACTATTTTTCTGATCAACTCATCGGTAAAGAACGAGTTGAAGAAATGTAATGGTTCTGTGTGAGTTGAATTTAGTTGTGAACCAGGGGTTCGTGATCCAGAACTAAATTGTATCTTTTGTGGAACGATGTCGTGATTTGTGACATTCTTCCATTCGTTATCACTACTGCTATCACTTTCCTGAATATTCATTTCTTCGTCACTACTACTATCACTGCCCACATTGAAACGCCTGAGTGCATTCCGTCTTGCAACTATTTCACTTCCACTCGATAAAGCAATGTCGTCATCTTCTGTGTTGTCAGATTCAAATTGGAACTCATCACTACTGTCACTATTGAACGTATCGTCTCTGGATCTTTTAGCCATCGTGTGTAGGATGTTACAAGATGTGAAATATGTGACAAAATATGTGAAAATGTATAAAATGTATGAAAACTTTGCTGGTTTCTCTAGTGACACTGAAAGACTGACTCGGCAGACTGAATTCGTTCTGAACCTACCATGGTCTCGCATCGTAAGTTTACACTATACGGAAGATAAGATCTTATCGATACAAAGACTATAGGCCGACAATCGTCCGCACGGGACGTTCAGAACGATAAACATACGCCAGCCCGCAGCGCGAGAATTGGGCGGCTATATGCCGACACTCGTCCGCAACGGTAAAAAGACTTGGGCGGCTATTTGCCGACACTCGTTCGCAAAGGGTTAATAACAATGTCATCTGTTAAGTACACATGTGTTTTTATACCTCGCGATAATTTAGGTTTAGCAATACTACCCTCATTCGGAAAACACCGTAATCCTCATTAATAACCATAAAATCATAATTAACCCCGCGACCCTTTGCAATAGCATTGTCCACGTTCTGACCACTTTCCTGCCCCGTTATACTTTCGATCGCCGTTCAAGACGCTCCCCATTTTGATGACTTCCACGGTCAAAAATTCCTCAAGGATGGAAAATTTCAAAGAACTACCATGAGCTGAAGACAACCGCCGACACTTCCCCTTCCAGACAAATTCTATCCAATAGGAATAAGTTCGCAATTTGTCATCGCCCAAATCAGGGCTTAAGAAAACTACTTAAACTACGAGCTATTAGAAATAAGAATAGAATTGAATCAGACATCAAACTGTAACTGACTTGAATAAATATATTTTAACGTAAGAAAGGCAAAGCAAGCAGTTGCTACATTATTTAAAGTTCAGTACAGCAGTACCCACGAACTTAACATCATCATTGCTATATCTACATGAGATATAATGTAACATACATTTAATAAGAATATCATTATTGGCATATCTACATTAGGTATGTAATATACATTTAATAAGAATATCATTATTGGAATGTCTACCTTAGATATGTAATATACATTTAATAACAATGTCATTATTACTATATCTACCTCAGATATGTAATATACATTGCTTCGTCTCTTAGAACCGAAGAGTCGAAAATTTTAACAATAACATTTTTTCATTTGTGCTTATCGCATCGTTAAACGCTATTAAACTAACGTCCGAGATGATATAAATGTACATTTTCGCTTCTTTTAGCAAAAAGATCGAACTTTAGTTGCGCTCCGAAATATTTCAAAGTTCTAGCGGTGTGTTGCTTTCAAAGTGCCTCCCTTTAAATAGCAATCGGCAGGCCGCTAGGTCGGCGACGCACGGGCTTACGCCGAGGCGTATACGGGGGCCAATCGCCGTGAGAGCGTGCGTTTTCGACTTTCGCAATAAGATAGTCTCCTTTATGAAAAGGAGCGTACACGTCTCCCAAAAAAAAAAAGTTTCATCACGCTCAATGTAGATCTTAGGTTTTATTCATATTTTTGGCAATGTAGTTACCGTACAGAAACGATGAGACGATAATATTAAAATACATATTTTTGCATTTCATATAATTTCATTGCAATAATCTTCTATTCGTGTTTTATTTGCGCGTGCTGGTGAGGTTAGGTTGTATATTAGTATTCCACGCGATCGTGTTCTTTTCGCCATGAATTATTTCCAAGTTCCAGCGGCGTATTGCTTTGCCCCGAAATTTTTCAAAGTTCCAGCGGCGTATTGCTTTGCCCCGAAATTTTTCAAAGTTCCAGCGGTGTATTGCTTTGCCCCGAAATTTTTCAAAGTTCCAGCGGCGTATTGCTTTGCCCCGAAATTTTTCAAAGTTCCAGCCGCGTATTGCTTTGCCCCGAAATTTTTCAAAGTTCCAGCCGCGTATTGCTTTTTTTTCGTACTTTTAAAAAAAAATGATCAATGCCAAAAAGCCGGAAATATAACATCCAACCTTCACCAATTTCACAATTTTTTTCGAGATTCGTATATATGATTTATAAATACATCTCTATTATTTCTATATTTCTTTCTTTCCAAAATCTCTTCTCCTCCAGTATTCCGTATACGCACTCGTTCCTCTCGGTGCGCATTTTACTCTCTCTTGCTCTCTCTGGGGCCTCGTCTAACCGACAAGACGAATCCCCAAGCATAGGGCTGAGTCTCAACAGATCGCAACGTGGTAACTGCTCTACCGAGTACAACACCCCGCCAGGTACCTAAGTCGTCTACAGACGATTCCGAGTCTCGACGTCGAACTTGGAGTACCCATGATCGACCGTTAGAGCGCCGCGGCCGTCGCTCGGCGAGATCCCGACGACGAATCCGATGACGCTCGTACGGCAAACTGGGGCCCTTGCGATGACCGGTCACGAGGGCCGGTCACCTAGTGGTGTCACATTGTTTTGAACCTTTCGACCCACACGAGACTCCTAGAAATATCGTTGCCACCTTTGTCTAGAAAGGATACGGCCTTAGAGGCGTTCAAGCATAATCCCACGGATGGTAGCTTCGCACCACCGGCCGCTCGACCAAGTGCGTGAGCAGGATTACTATCTCAACGACTAGTCATCATTAGGGTAAAACTAACCTGTCTCACGGCGGTCTAAACCTAGCTCACGTTCCCTGTTGGCGGGTGAACAATCCGACGCTTGGCGAATTCTGCTTCGCAATGATAGGAAGAGCCGACATCGGAGGATCAAAAAGCGACGTCGCTATGAACGCTTGGCCGCCACAAGTCAGTTATCCCTGTGGTAACTTTTCTAACACATCTTGCTGAAAACTCTTCAAGCCAAAAGGATCGATAGGCCGTACTTTCGCAGTCTCTATACGTACTGAACATCGAAATCAAGCCAGCTTTTGCCCTTTTGCTCTACGCGAGGTTTCTGTCCTCGCTGAGCTGGCCTTAGGACACCTGCGTTATTCTTGTAACACTGCGATATAAAGTCTTGTAACACACTGCACATGGTACATTAGCAAAAATATTAATAGCCGATTTAAAGTAGTCTTCCTGAAGGAGAAGTTCTTTTCTCCGTTTTTTAGCTAGTTCACGCATATTTCTTAAACGCGTATTCCTTGATTCGACACGCTCACTTAGTAGTACTTTCCGCATACGATTTCACACAACCATTAGACGTTGCGAACGTTCCTCAGTAGATTCGGTCGCTAAACGCTTGCGGATTAATCGGAAACGGTGTGACCTTTCCTCCGCAGATTCGTTCGCTAAACGCTTGCGGATTAATCGGAAACGGCGTGACCTTTCCTCCGCAGATTCGTTCGCTAAACGCTTGCGGCTTAATCGAAAACGGCGTGACCTTTCCTCCACAGATTCGTTCGCTAAACGCCTGCGGATTAATTCGATACGACGTGAACGTTTCTCGGTAGATTCGTTCTTTAAACGATTAGAAATTCTGCTTCGCCGACGTTTTCTTTCGTCAATCGTTTCGCGCGATTCTTTCGAACTAGCGTATTTTCGCTTTGCAGACAATCTCGAACGGCGATCGTCAATAGTTTCTTCACGCCGTGCCTTTGCGTTTCTTTCACGTTCTTTAGAAAGACGTAATTGCTTCATGTCTGATTCATTCGCACGATTCTTTCTCATACGGGATGCACCTTTTGTAGGTCTACCCATAATTATATATATCGAATCTTTTTTATTTTATTTCATTAATTAACCGCTGAAAGCAGAATTGATCCGTTTGTTTTCACAAACAATAATTCGCTCCAGTCAGAGTTGGCCAGTTTCTTTGTATTCGCTTAAAGCATAATTGAACCCTTTTCCTTGTTTATATTTTCAGAAACAATGATTCGCTCATAGCAAAAATTGTCCGTTTGTTTAGATTGGCTCAAAGCAGAATTGTTCTGTTTGTTTTCGCAAACAATGATTCGCTGAAAGCAGAATTGAACCCTTTTCCTTATTTATATTAAATTAAATTAAAAACAAAAGTTAGAATTATGATAATATATTTATTATATACCTATCCCTATATTCAATGGAATGTATGATCAATTCAATTGATGACAGCGTCGCAATTCTAACTGATTGCTGCTCGTGGTTCGTAACTTGTTCGAGGGAAAGAGTGTGAGTCTGATTGGGCGTGCCCCGCCTTGGTTCACACGGTTTGTGTGCGCCAAAATCAGCGGGGTGTGCGAAGGATCCCTCCTTTCCCCTGCGCCGGCTAATAACATTGTGTGACATTGCCCTACTACATATTAATTTTCTCGAGCTCTGCGAAGCTTCGAATCCGTAAACATGGATAAAGAATACGTATTACGCGAAAATTCGAGATGGATGTATTACAAAGGGATGCCGCGAGTAAAACAAAGCAATATTCAGCAAAGAATATTACATTTGGACTAATTTTCGTTTTATCTTGGAAAAGATAGTACCGTTGGATTGTTGAGGTTCTTCTGATTAAATTGAATCTAAACACGACATAGATCGGGTTAATTTTAATTTAATTGGTTATTAATGGTTGACTGGATCAATTTAAATTGATTAATAATAACAAACCTTGTCCAATTTACATCGTGTTTGGTCTTGTTTTGATTAGAAAAATATCACACATTTGTTCATAAAAGTTTCATAGCAAAAAAATTAGAAATAAACACGTTTCATTGTTGCATTAATACGGTTTTGCAGATATAGACTGGATTATTTTCGCTTCGTCTTCTTTTCACTCGCTGTCCTTATTTATTATTTACGTTCGAAGCAGTCGACAAATTTCGAACAATGTAAGAACTACACGATATTCGTGAATCCATACGACGCAAATATGTGCGATCCTGGAATGTGCCCCACCAATTCTGTTACTCTCTTGCTTTAGAAGTCACAGATATTTGTTCAGTATTCATCGAAATGTGATAAAGTGAATAACGGTAAGTACCAAATTACAAGTACCAATAATTTATATTTTATAAAAAATATATTACTTTAGTCCTCATTGGTTGGTGGTTTGGTTGGGTATAATTCTGAAAATCACTTGCCCCGATTTTCTTTTTTTAAAACAGTATTCTTGCGTGTTT